GGTAGTAAACAAATCCTATATATATATGATGTAACATTTTCACCTCGCAAACGTAAATCAAAGATTGATATAGTCAGGGAGAACAACGCTAAGGTTATAATTCTGTAGACTAACATTTAAACATTTTTGTTACTTTTAATCATCATTTGTATATTTGCATTGCTATGTTTACTAACAACTGATACCAAAGGGTGGACACGGTAACGTACGTCGCTCAAGGACAATTTTCGAGGATAACAACTCAACGAAAACAACTAATTCCTCTACTACCAAAGGTGAAACACTGCCACATAATGCTCAGGTAAAATGTGGGACAACAAACAATTTTATCCACTTTGTTTGACACACGGTTATACCAGAGCACCACAATATATTTCTTTTTACCATATACCATCCGTAAAGAAACTTTTGTGTCGAGCGGTCGGCTAACCGATAATAACTGAATAACCCGACTAAACTTTAAAATATAACTTAATTTTTAACCTAAATATCTGTTAATATCAAAAATTATTTTTTACAACAAAATCATTGATACTTTAATGATAATTTCTTAATTATAGTTTTACTGTTTTGACTATGTGTATTTTTGGTTTAAAAAGTAAAATTAGTTTGAACGAATGTTTTGTTATTCATACATTTTTGATTTCTTAGTACTTTATTCAATCACTTATCACATTAAATGTTTATATATCTAGAAAGTACCATAGATTAACGTTTTCTCTTTCTCTATCATCTATTTTTATACTCATTAGTACTTTTGACTCTTTTATTTTTCATTGGGTAGTTGTTAATAAAATTAGATTAAAAGTCTTGGCTGTATCGTATTAAACCAATGTGCATTCTTTTTTACATAGTAGTACATGTATACTAATAATTCTCGTCTATAGTAAATCTTTTATCCTAACTATACTTACTAATTCATCTCATATTGCAAAATTATTGTCTTGCCGCATGCTCGTACTTATTATTAAAATTACTTAAGATCTCCAAATAGTCCTAACATCTGTGATAATTGTCGTATTTGTTACAATTACGCAAACAAGGTACGAACATGACAAAAGCAAGTATTGTATTCACATAGAATTAGATAAAATGGTCTTCATTCAGTCAGATTATTTTAGACCTATATCAGTCATTTGATTATAGTAAATAGTACTAGAAATACAATAGAAGTAACAATTCAATGGATCAAACGATGCACAAAAGTTAATAAAAAAGGCAGTAACAAGTAATCAAATGAAATTTCCCAATGAACATGACGAATCCTGCCAGTATTCGGACAACAATTTTTTTTATCTTAAAATAACTCACAAAACGCCTTACAGAGCAACGACTCGAGCGAGGAGACGACGCACCACAACAACGCCATCGGCGAACCAGCCAGTCCATCCGAGCTGACGACCGACAACGAGAACAAGCTCAACTCGTCGGAGGAGGCATGGACGGACGTGAATCTGAACGAGGACGGCGACGCAATGACGGCGAATCTGCGCGACGATCCACGCAACATCCACAACATGGCGGCGCATTCCCACCCGGTTGAGCTGACCGCAGACAGCGAGGGCAACGTCCTCGAGCCTGACATGATGAACAGCAACAGCGGCGGTGGTGGCGTCAGCAGCAGCAGCTCGGAACGCGGCGAGAAGCCCACGACGGAGATATCGGTCGTCCGGGTACCTGACCACCTTGTCACCAGCGTTAGCTCCCCGCGACCCGACGATCTGCCGATCAAGAGCCTCGTTGACCACTTACCAGTGCCTACGCCGTCGCGCGAGGCCTCACTTACCCAGAAACTTGAAATGGCTCTGGGCTCGGTGTGTCCGCTGTTGCGCGAAATCATGATTGACTTTGCACCGTTTCTCTCCAAGACCCTTGTTGGATCGCACGGACAGGAGCTGCTCATGGAGGGCAAAGGTGAGTGTACTGTACGAGCAATTGATTTGATTGGGTATTGTTGAGAACTACCAGGGACCATTCGGGCCATTTTGGGCTTATCGATGTGGCCCCTTTACACTCATCAGAAATATATCACAAAGGCCCTTTATTTATCGAACGATGTACAAGGAAAGTATTTTTGTACAATTTTAAGAAACATCGAGGTGCAATGAGACACATTTTATCACAATATTCCTCATTAGTATCATGGGACCATAATAAACGAATCTATGAGTTATAAAAAATTACGTCCAACAACGGGTTAGGAATCTTTAATGCTTGTGAAGTTTTCCTAAACCCGTTTTTCCGACCCAAATAAGTACTTTATGGTTGTTTGATCTGAAGCAAACTTACACGAGGGGACAAAATTTTTCATTGTGTTTAATCAATTTTTTTCTGTCCTACAAGTTCTTGACCCAATGTTCTAAATTTTATCGTGAATCCCGTAAAGCTAACCAATTGGCCAATCAGTTTCCTTTTGACAAAACAGAAGTAAAAACAAGAAAATTACAGGAACCACTGGACCTTGTCATCTTCAACTGTTTTTTTACAGAAAAATAACACCTAAAAAACTGAATATGAGCTTTTCTGCTAGTAGTATTTCGAATGTGTAATAGTTATTTCAAACTTTTCATCAAATTCCTTCCCAACCGAATAACGAGTGTCATACCACCTATGTGCAATAGAAAATGAGCTTTGAAAATTGACTTAAGGTAGTACTGTCGATACCGCACTAATCAACTGAGAACTTAATCTTAATGGCAATGTGTTAGTGTATCTATATTCATCGTGTGTATAGCGATATAATACCCGTGCTTAAACTCTTAATTTTATTCATTTAATCGCTAATTAAAGATCTCACAGGCATCTAATAAATATTTTGAAGTGACCAAAATGTAATTTACTTTTTTAGCATATTTTTTTTCAACTTTTATAAATGTCTCGTTGGCCAGTGTTTCGAAATACGAAATAAATCGCCGTCTTCTATAAAATAATGTGTTAAACTAATGAGTAGTAAAATGCCCATGATTTTCTTCCTACACATCCTACACTGAGAGAAGGATTGGTTAGTAATTAACTTCATATTATGTTAACTATTACCTAACGTATGACTCACGTAGTGCCATGTAATGTGGCGCAGGTTACGTCGGAATGTTTACTATTAACATGCTGTCTGAGTCAGTTAAAATTTAAAAAGTTATAAAGAACATGTAAACTAATTATCTGTTAATATGCTTGTACGTTGGTAGTAAACAAATCCTTCTCTCATTGTATAGGTCCACAAAAATTCAACTAGATTATTTTTGGGTACTTATATACTTTCATGTATTTAATTTTATCGAAATCTTGTAGGTCAATCAATATAAGACAGTACTACCTTAAGATCCTGAATATAAGACAGCAAACGGTTAATTTTACTTTTTTATTGCAAGCCAATTCATAGACCATTCAAGACACCAGCGATGATGAGTCGTCGATATTTTTATTACCATATACTTACCTGAAAATTTTATGTTTCACCACATTTTGAACAACTACGCGACATCACATCAGTATTCGTAGTGCGCATCCTTGACACGGTGGACACGCACGATCGCTTAGAAATTCCAAAAACGTCGGGACTGACAACCTTATCGCGTCTGTACGACATACATTTATCCCATCGCTTCCACACCGATTTCTTTACAATTTACACCATCGATGCTATAGAGACTACGGTGTCACCCACGGTGTTTTCCTCGGCTCCAAATCCTGACGAGAATAATAGCGACTTGATATACTTATGCGCCAAAGTACATGCAAAAACACTTGGATTTTCAGGCCTGACGACCTTCAAGAACAGCAACTCCGTCGTCGAGCTGGTGATGCTGTTGTGCTCGCAAGAGTGGCAGAACTCCCTGCAAAAGCACGCCGGTCTCGCCTTCATTGAGCTTATCAACGAGGGAAGGTAAATTAGTCATCGATCAACTAATAAAATAAATACTTTTTTCCGGGGTTGATACTGGTAGCTCGTACGAGTCTTATCTCGGTGTTCCATCAGGAAACCATATATCACGCACTTGTACCGTAAAAATAACAATCGAAATACTCCAAACGGTAACTTGTCAACAAACATTTTTCAGACTACTGTCTCACGCGATGAAAGATCACATAGTTCGCGTGGCCAACGAAGCCGAGTTCATCCTGAACCGCATGCGTGCGGATGACGTGCTCAAGCACGCCGACTTTGAGGTACGTACATGCATATTCCATTGACAATATGGTAACGATGGAAGTCATTCGACGATATCGGTTCAATGTGCAAATTCGCCCTCAGTCTCAGTGCGCTCAAACGTTGCTGGATCGTCGGGAAGAGGAGCGCACGTGCGACCACTTGATCACAGCGTCCAGAAGGCGGGACAATGTCATTGCCAGCAGACTTCTCGAGAAGATCCGCAACATTTTGTCTAACAAGCACGGAGCTTGGGGCTACATGGATCCCATGGCTGCAAAGTGAGTGAAGTCTAATAATCACCCTCCCATTAAGTCACACTCAGACGAATACTTCCATTATCAGCGGAAAATTAATTTTCTTCTTGGGAAAAAACAAACTCGAATGGTGATGCTGTCAAACTATTTGTTTTTGTAAGCAACCAAGATTATGGTTGCCGCGGTGCCAAAGAGTGACAAGACCTTCCTTTTACGGGCTGAAGCGTTCCATCGTGATTATAAATTTCGGAAGATAATCTTTTCTGGGACTTTGATCCAATTTTAAATTTTTAGGTTCATTTGACTCATTTTGCTCGACAGGGTTACAAATGCGTGTTTTTTTGTTGTACGAGCTTAAAAATATCGCTGATTTTATGTATTACAACTAATTTTTTGAATTTTTCATCCTCATTGAAATCGATGATTCTTATACATCATAAATAAACAAAAAAAACCTAGAGTATTTACGAAAACTTTTCGTTTTTATTGTTTATTGTTGAAACAAATCATGTAATAAAAATATTTAAATTTTATCGTAGTTCAAGTTATGTTGAATAAGAAATTTACTAAAAGAGCCATATTCGACAGTTCGTAGCATGAAAACACTCGTTCCTAGCTCTGGAGAAAGAAATCAACTCGTGATATTTAGGTAGGGGAACGAGTCACCGAGCAACAATTTTTTGTCACAATTTGTGTAAAGTTTGAAAATAAAATCATATTTTGTCTCGTAAAACCAACCTGTGATGGTTCATGAAAAGAAAAAATAATTCGATAGCATCCGTTTTTTATTACTCCTCAAACAAATCATACTGCTCCACCGGAGTTATAAAACCAAAACATTGTCTCAAAAATCAGACTGTCCGAGTACTGGAAGCTCGACACCTGGGAGGACGACGCACGAAGGCGCAAGCGCTTCGTGCACAACCCGCTGGGCTCCAGTCACCCCGAGGCCACTCTGAAGGCTGCCCTGGAACACGGGGCGCCGGAGGACGCCATACTCCAGGCGCGCGAAGAGTTCCACGCCCACCTCGCCAGCAGCCGAGCGGGCCACCAGCAGCAGCAGCTCCAGTCCACGGATCTCATGGACGACAGCGAACTCCTCACCGACGACAGGGACCTTGACAGCGATCTCGCCAGTGCGTACCGTAGTCCTTGGTTCTTACCACCTCTCACTGTATCCCTTTTCTGGATACAAACAAGGCGCTGGTAATTTTTTGGGGTCCATGAAGAAATAACACTCGCTGTTCTTTCAGGCCCAGTCAATATGAGCACAAAGGGAAAGCTTATAGCTCCGGGCATCGTGGCTCCTGGTATAATCTCGGTCACTGCGGCAGAGCTGTACTTCGAGGTAGACGAGGACGACCCAGAGTTCAAGAAGATCGACTCTGAGGTGAGCTTTTTGATCTGCTTTGACATTAGTACCTTTCAAATTTTCCATGTATTATTTATTCCTGTACGATTCGTCAGAACGACCCGTCTTTTGCGGTTAAACGCCGCAAAAAAATCACCTCCGACTAGTCTATGGAGCAGTAAAAGATAAGCTTTGTGAAAGCAATGCTTGGAAAAAAAAAAATGTCAGGCGTCGAGTGACTTTTTGTCGCGGCAGCGGTAGCGCTCGTTACCGATAAGGGAGAAATATTGCATTTCTCGGACTATCGTCATGCTCATAAAGTCGCCGATAATGCAAATTTAGTTTTGAAAACAAGTCATTCCCATAGAGCCGTTGGTCGGTTGTTGCGAAATTTTGTGCCTTCGAAGCGTTCTAATTTTTTTTTTCTGCCTCTTCCTTCCAGTTAAGAGGCACAGAAACGATAATTTTGGAAATCAAGGATTTCTCGATTCATGAAAACACATTTGAATATATTCGAATCGAATCATCATTAATCTCGGGCTTGAGAGTCCACAAAGCGAGTGCGTGGCCACCCTCCCTCTCTAAAAAAAAAAGAAAAAAAATTTATCATGTCACCACATCAGAATGCACGCAGCGTCTTCGGAGGGGCAAAATAGTAAGAAAAAAAAGCTCGTGGGAAGACCATCGAACGCTGAAAAGGCGCGGCAAGATACGATTTTTCGTAGGCCCAGGCTATCGATAAGATCGCGAATTCCCTTGTCTGTGGCCCGACGACACGAGTCCACCGAAATCGCGATAGCAAACGCGAGAAGAGAAAAAAAATGGAATTTGGCACGTAACGGCGTAATATTAATCAGCCGGGCGTGCGTCGTCGTTCCATGTGTACGTGCGTGTCGTGGGACCCGAAATTGATGCGATTCATAACTGATGAGACGTGGCGAAAGCTCCTACCTACGTGGACCCACTGCGGCTCCCATCATCCCAATAAGGATTTATCTTCCGTTCTCCAAAAGGCTTCTACTTTTCGAGCGCTCCTCCTTCGGCCCATTCGCTGTCGTCCTTTCGGCGCCAAGGAAAAGACTCGGAGTACGAACGGTCAGCTCGTTATGTGCGTACCTTTCTCGATTGAATTCGTATCTGCGACTATTTATCTGTGCCAAGAGTATAAATCCTCTCGATGGATTTATCACTCAATCACGTTATGACGACCTTACGTCCAAGAGAGACCCAAGAAGCTGTTTCAATTCATCATTTCTCGGGGAATAAATTGATTTGTTTGAACAATTTACGGAAAAAAGTACGAAATCATATAGTTTATTTTCAACATCAACAATTTGCAACCGAGCCTATCAAAATAACTAAACGCGTTGCCAATATCTGTTATTTGCTCAAGGATATCGCGTTACTTTTGAGTATCGCTCCTGGATCGGTAGAGGAATATGACTATTTTTCCTCACGAGGTTTTTCTTTAATTTCAAGTGTTGATACCATTGTAAACATCACGGTAATTTGAACATTACAATTTTTTTAATTGCAAAAAGGCGTGAGGTACGAAAAATAATCATAGTACAAAAACAAGTACAGTAATTGCTACAATGCAGTTGCATAGAAAAATCCGGGCTAGACGTTTGGTCAGACAAATTTACCAATAACATTGAAACCACACACGCACTCACGTAGATATATGATAATCGTGTGAGCAACTATTGAATCATGCCCAAAAGCAGTTTGCGCTGCATCAACGTGTGCCACTCGCCATCAGCCAAGAGAGAAAAAACTCAGGCGGGAGGAATGGGTGGTGCCAATTACCATACGTCGCTCGTAGATCTCGTGTTGGTGGGTATACACAACCGAGAAATAATATATAAAACAAACAGTCGGCGATGCCCCACGGAGCCCGCTCTCTGTCGTGCTCCTGCTCGCGCTCTTCGGATCAGCAATTACGAACCCCCCGCGGCTTTCTCCTCTACCTCTCTTCTCTTTTCTTGATCCTTCCTTCTTTTTTTCAATTTACCTCTTTTCTCTTTCTTTCCCACTTATTCTACCTGCGGCTTTGCATTCACAGACGACCCTGCATCCTCCTCTATTTTTTCATGATCCATCTCACGTGTCGCTACATTGGTTTTCGGCTCTCTCGTTCCGATTACCCTTGGTTTTTCAATGGGATACTCCCTTTTCCGAGCGCATCACGTCCTAGAGAGTGCAGCATCGTGGGTATATATCAAAATATCTGGTGCTCATCGTCGTCTACCCTTGTTCCCCCGTCCATCCTTTGATCCTTGTTTCTCCTTCCCTTTTAATTTCTCTCCATACCGATGCATGGACCGGAGAAGTATTTTTTATGCACTTCTTCAGTGACAGCTGGCGCCAGTGTATTTTGTTTGTTATGGGTGTACGCCACTGGAGCACCATCGCGTCGTCAAGACGATTTATGAAATTCTTTCTTGTACCATGAACTCTGGTATTATCTTGCTAGAGCTCGCGATGATCATCGATTGACTTTTGCCTATAATACAACATCATGTAATTAATATGCAAATGAATTATTACAAACTTTTTAATGGTGTGCCTTACACTTTCACCCTTTCCATATCATAAAGTATTTTTTTTATCTTAAACGTCGATGGAGTATGGCTTAGTTTTTTTTTTGTATACCCTTTCGAGAAGTTTCAATTCTATTTCATTAAAATAAGTCATCCGTGATTTTCTAAAAGCATAAATGAATGATTATTACTAAGTACTGCACTGCTCTATATAAGTTTACTAAGTTTGTTTATAGTGCTTGGTATGTGAATTTCAATTTTTGAGGCTTACGTAGTGCCTTATTTTTCACTATGAATAAGTTTACAGCTCGTTTGAGACTTTGCGCATCTGTTTGAATATAATTTGATTAATTAGAACTTGTTCAACGAATCTTATAACATTTTTCAGTTGGGATTGAGAAAGTCTCGTATTTTTGACTCTCACCTACATGTAACGTGCCAAGTTAGAGTAAACCAACAATATGAACGCCCTGATTGTATTAATCAAATGTTAAATCTTCTTTAAGTTTTCATTTAATTTTACGATGAAATATTTATATTTACATTTATATTATCTATATTTATATTTGTTTTCATCCAATAATTAATATTTCAACGATGCCACCGTTTTACTTAAATATACGTGTTAGAACTGTAGTACAGCCAATTTCGTGGTGTGTTTATTTATATTAAGTACCAGCGGGTCCGTTTCAGCTCCACCCAAGATTCATTGAGTAGCGCACCTGACACGTAATGTAAAATGTTTGCAGTTAAAAATTTTTTTTTTTTTTTGACACAGCTTGGAATAACAAACTTCTTATTAAAAAATTTTTTGTTGGAATCCATGCAGTTTTCATCAATAATTAGCTGTAAAAAAGTAAAAGAAATATAATGATGCTGAAAAGTAATGTAAGTTCTTTAGTAGTCTAGTAAGTTACACCACGAAATAATTTCTGGCCCTCAAAGGGTCGTTGATTTCCACTTTCTCATATTAAAATATATAAAAAGGGCTGTTCATTAAAGTTGTAGAGATTCAAAACTGTGTAAAAAAAAATACAATTCAACGATTTTTATTTTTTTCAATCAAAAAACTTTACCACCAGAGAAAGAAAGTCCTAGAGCCTTATCTCTCGCATGAATGCAAATACATATTATTCCATCTATTTCAGTAGCCGGAAGATTCAAGTAATTACTATCAGGGTTATAACGAAAAGCTGATCTGTCACTAAATCGATTCTTTATTCGTCGATTTTGCGCTGCTGTTTCAATCTCGATAAATTTTCTGCGTCAGTTTCGTGACGCCTAAAACTGTTTGCCTTTGAATCATTTAAAGTTTTCTTTCCCATTCACCCTCTTGCAACTCTAGGCTTGTTAGAACCTTTTTTGAACCCTACAAGGCTAGTTTTTGTCAACTTTTTTATATAGTAATATATTTGTTGGTAATAAGGTAATTAAACGTTGGATAGTCCTTAAAAGGACCAATGAGATTGTTGGTAGTTTAGTGAACGTAAAGGTTTGTGACAGCCTAGGAACGCGATTTATTGACGCGCAGTAGTTTTCTTACTCTAGTTCAAAAGCGATTGGTTGACACTGATTAAATTAAACATCTCAACCAATTACGTTCCATCTAGAGAGAGATAGCTACTACTAAAACTAGGTCTACCTTGTTACGCTGTAAAACAATGCAATCCCAATTAGAAACTGAAAGTGGGCGAAAACTGGGCCCAAGCTTGGCTGCCACGCCACCCACCTTGGCCGCAGCTTGGCACCTGACACGGCCTCCAGGGGGTTTGTACGCTGGCTTGAGCGCAGCTTGGCCTAACTTGGCATGACTTTCGCCCTGTAATCGCCCACTTTCGTCTGCAGATCAGTATAATACAGAGACGTCTTTGTGTATAAGTATACAAATAGTATGACGTGCGCGCACGCAGACATACATTGATATATATACAAACTTATATGCTTATATATATCCAACATCAGTGCAGACGAAAGTGGGCGATTGCTGGGCAAAAGTCATGCCAAGTCAGGCCAAGCTACGCCCAAGTCAGCGCCGTATTACAAACCCACCTGCGGCCCGGCTTGGTTGCTTGATTTGGACCATGCGTTTAAGCTGGGCTGCCCACTTTCAATTATACTCGGGATGCTACCTCTAGTAGTATATACTCTAAGGAGGTTGATGATATTTTCAGCAGTTCGTATTCATCATGAGACGCGTGGGAGAGGTTTTAGTCCCAGTTATTACCGCATGATGGTTCTTTACATTGTAGAATGGCGCTAAATTTTCGCGGTTTTCTTTTGAACACGTAAAATGGTAGAGGTTTTAGTTTCAACTTTAGTCACTTCATTTACTTTTGAAAGGATTATTCAGAGCTAGTTGTCGCGTCTCATGACAAATAGCAGCCCGAACTCCTGGAGATTGTTCTCTCTGGCTTGTTGTTGTAGCAACAGATTTGTCAAAATAACGGCCAGGATGCTCTTAAGCGTTGGAATGAGAGATGTGGGTATGGTGTAAAG